CAGTTGTGGTTCTGTCTCAGTGTGCAACGAAAATGAATTCAGCCAGGGGTGCAACGCTGACGGCCGCGGTCAATGCCAGTGTATGGGAACAAGGGGTTTCAACTCGACTTGTCATGTTTCGAGACTGGGTCTGGCAAGAGAACAATCTTACAACCGTCTTCCTGGCAGGTCTGCAAAAACTGGATGGAAAAGCATGCCAGGAGGTCGTGGAGAACGTCGTCGCATTTAAAGTGGAGTTAGTACGTTCTGCCAGGCACTGAATCCTCGAGCCAGCAATTACTTACATGATGACAACAGGACGGGGTGAGCCAGGTTCCCTACGAAGCATTACAAACTTTTGAGTTAGCCCGACATAAGCGAAAGCTTGGACAAACAGAACTCGAGGTTCCTGATAGCGAGGACGACGAGGATTACGGATGGGCGGATGAAGATGAAGCGGCCATGCCGGCGCCTCCGCCTCAGTGGCAAGGCAGTGAAGACCTCATTTTGGGCCAAGACATCGGTCAAAGCGAAGATGAAAACAGCGAACAAGAGGAGCCTGTCACTGATGATGAATCGATCATGAAATGAGGCTCTGGACGGAGTCTGGTGGAGTCTGGGGATTGTTGGGGGATAGTCTCGGCGCCGGTGAAGCACCGAGCATACCAGACTGTAAATAAGTCGCGTCAAGGCATGGGCAGAGCCTCACAGCGGGACGGAGATGTCAAGAAATCCCCACGGAGTGAAATGAGGAAAACTCGAGCCCCTTTATCAAATGGCCATGACGGCTCCGCCTTGAGCAAGAAAACAGCGCAGACTGGGATTGCTGGGAGCCACAATAAAGCCGCGCATCATGCTTGCTGGGCCATGGTCGGGTTGCCAAGAAGCTTCGGACAAGTCCGGCCGTAGTCTGATGAGGTTAAGCATCGTGGTTCGTGGTGGGAGGTATTTCGTCATGCTCCATGGTCCCCAGACGAAGACATACTTCTGGAAGGACAAGAAATTTCTACGAACAGACAACCCCAGGACCTAGGTCCCCCAAACAAGCATAGCTTTGCTTGGCGTTTCTCCATCCAGGTCAACCAAGAATGAGCAACGGTTGGGCGGCTGGCGGAGGTTTTACTCTACTAAGGTGGCGCTTGGAGGTGCGTGCTCCACCGGGCCGGTCGCTCTCTGAAGGGGGATCTCGAAGTACCTACGGGGAAAAGATACTTGTGTGCTGGTTTCTGCCCCCAGGTTTTGTACATACACACCACCCTTCCGACCTGGTTGTTGAAAGCTCCTAATACGTTTATCCCCAAGATTTTCTTTACGGCCCTTAATTCTGTGTCATTCACGGTGGCGATTTTGCTGAAGAAAACGTGGGCACGCAACCTCTTGGACTGAAAAGCCGAATGTTTGGAGAAAAGAAGTCCGGGAGAAGACGCATGGAAGCATGACTGACTCAATGAATGACGCAGCAGTTCCCAGCACGGATGGCACCATCACCGTCTATCCTACTGCGACCATCTCGCGCAGCTTTTATCGAGTATCGATTGGCCCTTGACTTGAAATGGTTTGCCATGCATACCTAGGCTAGAGATACCAGGCTCGGGCGCATTCAACGCATGCAACAGCATGCACAATGCAAACTCGTGTTTTACCTTCATATTATGGATTCAATGCGCAGTCTTGAAACCCCAGTGTCGTCTGTTGCTGTGGATAAGTCAACACCAAGCACCCAATAACGACGGTATGCGTGGTGCTTTAGAATATACCAGATGAGTCTCATCTGGGCTAAGTGCGATATTTGTGACCCAACCGATTCAACATTGCGTGTTCATCCACTCGACAAATCAATCACCAACGTTTATGGCGGCTATCTGGAGGTGAAGCAAAAAGAATTTTTTTTGAGCCCCATGCCAGGCACCAGGGGTCTTGGAGATTTCACGGGTTTGCGGACGTTTGACCACACACCGCCGTCGTGGCTTTTTCTTGTTGAACCTGTATCTGCATTCTCACCAATGACTTGGCTTTTTTCGCTGCACAGAATACGGGATGCGCACTAGCATGACTTCAGGCCCACGCCAGATCTCACGATCTGGGATTCACGCAAGTTGGGCCGAGATTGGATTGGATTGGATGCTGCTTATAAGCCCACTAGCCTCTGCCTCACAATGCTATGGAACTGCAGTTTGCAGTCGTGCCGAGACATGTCCGCAGTATGGAAATTCGTTGGTCTTTGCTCAAACTTGTCGCACTCGAGATGCTTTGGATACGACACAGATCAATTGGCGACCCATTCTCCCCCATACATGTTGAACAACTTCCATTTTAGAAGGTTGTGGATAGCTACAGGGTCAGCGTTGTGGGATTCAGCAGCCTCATGTATGCTTCGACAGGCAATTGCTCACGGCAGCGAGCGGCTTAAGGGGCATTGAACATTTAATTACTGTGCTATATCCTGGAGACCCAGCTTCTTCTCTTTGATTTCATTTCTAACATCAGTGCCTGGGTCAAACCGTTTCCACATGCAGACATGCATTATTCAGCTGTGTGTGAAAAAGATATCCATTCAAGACCAGGGTACATCTACAGGGCACTCAGACGATTATCCATCAGCATGGGCCGATGATAGCGGATGCCTTCTCGGAGTATCCCCAACCGCTGCAGCAGCGGCTTTTGTGCACAGTGAATTTGCGATGCCAGGCATGTCATCGTCGCTTGTTGAGGGTTCCAAGGCCCAATGGATTGACGGGGTTACGTCCTCCCTCAGTCAATTTGCTTGTCCAATTGAGGTCTATCGGTGAAATGCCTCCAATCTGTCGCAAGGCGAACCCCGCGAGATGTGGAATGTTGAAGCATGCGCCCTGACCAGCTTCTGGCCTGATCTTTCGAGTGCCCCAGGATTTCGAGCTCTTGATACTTCCAATCACAGTTGTTGGTTCCTTGCTTTCCCTACACCTCCAACTTGGATGCCTTATCGGCATATGCACGGCAGATGGCCGACGATCTTGCTACGTTGACCCCACGGAAAATGCACCGCGTTCTTCCACTTGCCTTTCCCCTTCCTTAGTTTTGCTTTTTCCCCGTGTCCAATATGTATGTAAATATGGATACTGGTGCTACATTGAGGTCTGGGGAACTTAACCATAGCAGTGCATCATGGAGACTGCGGAGAATATCGCGTGATGCGAGACACGGATGTCAACGCCGAACTGTGCGATCGTATCATCCGGAACACGATCCTCGGCACTCCGCGACGGATGGAATCTACTGCGGTCCCATTACCGGACACCCGGACTCTGGTGGTCTGAACAACGCGTGATCGATATTCTAAAATGGTAGTCCGGCTCAACATTTGCGTTCTTGGGGTTTCCCGACTGTGTATGCGCATCAATCACCCAGCCGCTTTGTCCCCCAGACTCCCCGTTAATAGATGAGAGACTTACAGTTATGATCCTGGGGATGAGAAACCATAGGGTCCCCACGGAAAACAGACTGGCTATGCTGCACCCCCTCGGAGCGAGCTTTCATGTCCGCCTAGATACACGTACAGTGTCTTTGTTCTCTCAAGCTGCCGAGATATGTGGTTCCGGCTGCATTGTATTACAACTCACGTAAGCTCTTTGCGGATCCTAACGGGTCGCATGCTTCGAGAGCGTTCCAGGTCTGTAGTTGACTCGCTCCATTATTGCTCTGTTGCCACATGGATCTCTATTCTGGCGATCATGGTTGAGATCGAAGTATGATCACGGGCCATGGCATTTCTCCATTCGAGTTTGATGTAACAACCTAATTGTATTAATAGATGCTATACACGAGTTCGAATAGAAGTTTCGAGCTTACGCAGCCGCGAGAGGGCTTGCATGAAACATACATATGTGCTTGGCAAGTCCGCTGATTGAACAATTCATCTGGGACTTACTGCCTTGTTTGAGCATCTTCCAGAACCATGCCCTACACTATACTCAAAATGGCACCCAACACAAGAAACAAGTAACAACTCCCCAAGGTTTCTGATATCAGCAAGTATTGCCAATATCAGAGACTCTCGGCATGTGCTCGGTATCTATTTTGAACTTGTCGTGAAGCTCACAACATTCCGAGAGGTGCATCAACATCGTACGACAGAACCCCGTTACTTATTATGACCTTCATGCTCGGATTTAGGGGAGAGCATCAACAGGTTTGAAATTCCCAGTGACAGCTACATGTGAAGACGAATAGTTTCGGGTAAATTGGACTGGTGGTGCGAGGATAACAGCAAATGTATAGTCCGGTTGTTTTAGTTCATTGTGTACATCTGATGAGAACAAAGATTAATGAGAATGCAATGATCTTGTAGCGCACGACATAACTCCAATTTACTGAGGACGAGCGATTGTCAGCGTAAAACTCAATGCATGCTTCATAACATATACTCTATATTGCTAACAATGTTGTCTTTCAAGTCCTGGTCGAGGATTGGAAGTCAGATGCATAGATCTAGGGTAGCCATCTTTGAGCCTCCGAGGTGAGATGGACTTGACCGAGGTGAGCGGGGAACGGACAATCTGCAGGCCGATCCCTCTTTGTAGTCATCCCGTAATCTTATTGGCCAACATACTCATCGCGACTTCTATCTTAGCTTCACGTTCATTTGAATCAGGGCAGAAGCCAAGTTTAAGTTCAACTCATCATTAACCGTCCTTCTTCATCAATCGACATCAAAATCTAGAGGTATCTCATATCGAAGGGCCTGCCGATGCGGTGCAATTGATAAAAAGGTCCAAGAAACGGCGAATCGAGCGGTGGATGAGAACAAAGAAGACTCGAGTAAGATGACATCCCTATTTCACTACACCAAACTCCTTATCAAAATTGCGGATTTCTCGACGAGATCGAGAATCAATTGTCATGTTTCATTGAAATAGGAGCATATGGTCTTGTTCCGCATACAATTACTTCCCGCTCATGACACTGCCATCATGCCACTGCTCGGTTGCCCGTGAATAAGGTTCTAGGGCTCACCACTGATTCAGATCCATTCATTCATTCACCCGACCGAAACCAGAACCTCGACAACATACTTCTACACCAAATTTCCTGTGACATATCGTCTTCGCACACTACGTCTTCATCATGTCTGAAACTCAAACTGAAGAAGTTCGTGCCTCAGTTCCCATGGAGACCAAGGTTGAAGTTGTCAAAGCCGAGAAGAAGCCATTCTCCTGGCTGTACGTTTATCGATACTGTTCTATGAACACATATTGACACTAAATAGCGAACCGCACCCCACGTTTGTCATCATCCTCGTTGGTCCTGATGAGACTCCTTTCGGTATACAGAAAGATTTCCTCTGCTCTCGATCCGAGTTCTACGAAAAACATTTTTCAGAAACCAACTCCGACGACAAGATTGAGCACATAGTCAAGCTTCCTGAGACCACAAAGGAGATATTTGGCCTGGCTCAACACTTCCTTTACACGGACAAGGTGATTGCGGATGAGGCTAATGTCCCATCGTATGAGGCTTTTGTTGGACTTTGGAAGCTTGGTCATAAACTCAATATCAAGGGATTATGTGACAAAGCTCTTACCGCTATGATCGACTGTCGTCGAATCACGGAATCGATTCCAGCTACACCCCTTCTCATCCAGGTCTGGAAGGATACACCTGAGGGCTCATCGATTCGAAAGCTGCTGTTGTCATGGACCGCCGAGTACATGCGCTTTTCGGACGCCCGAGCAGAATTTGCCAAGTCACTACCCCAGGAGGTTCTCAGTGAGCTTGTAGTTGCCATGAGCTCCTTCGACACGGCTCTCACCCCCGAAGCATCGGCCACTAGTACTCTCCCATCTGTGACACCTCGCAAAAACGTTCATTACCTGGAGGACGAGCCCGAGAATGATGCGAAGAAGAGCAGACGAACGAGCGGTGGACCAGTCAGCGCTCCCGCATCAGCAGATCGATCGATCAAAGCTCGTGGATCTTTGCCCAAGCCCGCGCCTCGACGTAGGACTAGCGCTGGCTATGCCGAGGGCCGAGACTTTACTACATCACAAAAGTTGGATTTCTGCGCAGATCTGTTGACAAGAATGTTGTCCGGACCCGGTAAGTTGACCTCTGACGCCTCTGAAGGTAATCGCTAACTTGAAGATAGGGTTCTGGACCAGACTCGTTGGCCCCTTTAGAGACGCTGTCGAGCCCGTCGAGGATGGCGTGCCTGACTATTTCGAGAAGGTCAAACGACCAATGGACCTTACCACGATCAAGGCCAAAATGGACCGCAAGGAGTATACCAACGACGAAGAGTTCCTTGCAGACGTCCGTCAGATTTTTGACAACTGCTTCACATATTGGAAGAAGGGAGACCCAATGTGGCTTGCGGGGGAGAAACTCCAAAAGACATTCGAGGACAAGTTCTCCCACATGAACAAATGGATTGCCAAGATGGGTGGCGATGAGGCCGACTAGATGGGAGCTCTATCGCGAAGATCCACTAGGATTCAAGGAGAACCCCCATCTCAGACGGATGGACACCAAGGTGATGTTTGAAACACCTGTATTATATATATATATGTGGTGCTTCCTGGCCATCTTGTACCAGACAGCGGTTAGGAGACTATAGGATGGGGATAAGTGCTTGTGCTAGTATGTAAGGTAATGTGTTTCTTTCGGGCGTCTCTGGGAGGTCTGGTAAAAGGGGAGTCGGATCTTTTTGTCCGCTCACAGTGCAATAGCCCGAGTAATTGATTTATTAAACCTGGTTAACGTGGTCGATCGATGCATTAGCTGATGATCTTAAGAATTGACCAAATTAGGTAGAATGAGATCGAGGCACCAAGTGCTCAGGGCAACGCCATTTCGCGTTAACGGATGTCGAGATGAAGACCAATCTACAGGACGTTAACTAGAGCTAAGAAGCACTGACAAGCGCGGTCTTTTGCCGGTGAACGATATTGAGGAGGCTGCTTTTCTTGAAGCTGAGAGTGACGGGAGGATACATGATGTTGTGTTATGAGTCACTAGTCTTTATGGGCAGCTGCGTGTCAATTGTGCCAGCTCAATGGTAGGTAGCCTACGTGTTCCTTGGGCCTGCTCTGCTGGTGTCGTTGATGTAAGCGTCTATGCGTCTGCGGGAAGCCGACGATGAGTTGTCAGTGGATTTATACGAAGACAAGACAACAGCCATGATGTTTTCATCGTGACATCAATATGAAACTTTATTTTAGCCGCCACATGTTGATGCACACCACGATATTGTACTCAAGTGTAGAATCAGAGAGTCTAAGGAGTAACTAGCGAAGTGACCGAGTCGCGCAAAGGTCAATAGACGCTAGACGCTCAGGTACAGACTTAGTCCGGGGAACAGACTCGCGTTAAAATTAAGATTGCCACTGACGTTACTGGGCCCAGAATTTGGCCCCTGTCAAGTGGTTGCTCTGTGGGTTAAGTGGTTAAGTTAATGGCGCATGACCTTGTCGTTTAAATAACCTGAAACCAAGGCCAAGCCCGCTGAGCGAAAAAGAGAGACGAGTGTTGATCGTGTGTCTATGATCTATGAGAGAGAGCCAATAGAATTGTATGGATGAGAAAGTGTAGTCAAAGCACCAGCGGTTATATGTGTGAGTTGACCAAAATCGATCGAAATGTAATATTCAATATTGAATGTCTTGGTTATTGTTTTAAACAAGGCATTGTCTCAAAGGTCTTATCATCCGATACATTAGTACTCGGCCAAAAACCCGACGCCAAGTCTTTGTTCCTGTTCCTGCGTCAGGCGGGTTCTTAGCGCAATGGGGTCTCGGGTAGTACCTGCAGTTTTCCACTGGACCCCTGAAGTTACACAACTTACAGTGCTCAAATCGACCACTCAGAGGCTACAATGGGTGACATGCCCCAGTAATGAGTCTCAGGTACCTGCCGTAAAAGGCAACCTCACCATGCGCTGTCTCGTCTTTTTCTCTCCCTCACAAAGACAATAGCCGGAGAGGTCAGCAAAGAGGTCGATCGCTATTGAAGGAATATCACCCTTTGACGGCAAAAGAGACTTGGCGTTTTTCGGTAAAGCATATGCAATATTGACTCTCAAGTTTGGGCAAGAACCAACAGATTTTCCAAGATTGCGCTCTATTCCACCATAGCCCAGTAGGGCTTGGCCTGTGTTTGTGTAAGTGGGCGGCTAATTAACCTCCTAAATCTATCAACTCGTTAGTTTGTCTTTACTAACAGCTGTCATTTGCCCAAGCTGGTGATCATTTCAGAGGATCTGGGGCTGGGGTGGAAAATATCTCACATGGAGACAATTGTTAGTGAAGAAACAAGTCGAACCACAAAAACCATGTGGTATCTTGTTGTTTTACCTTTTCGCTCCAATGTTGCATCTGCTATTTATCATCTATAGCTGTTTCAACACAAAACCCTATATCCATGCTTTTCAAACATCTTTCCTGTCACAAAACGCTCAAACCATCAAGCAACCTCCGTATCAGGTCTCGTTGGCCCTCCAGTCCATCCATATTAGGCATGGTGTTTTTCTTGTTGTTCGCGGATTGGTGGTGATTGAAGCAAACCACGATGGGCATTTTAAATTAAAAAATATCAACTGAATTAGGGGGCCCCTGTCCTTGTCATCCCCGGGACAGAACCACTACAAGGCCAGACTGCTTCTGCATGATTCTCCGTCTTGCACCAGCCTATCACGGCCATGAAATCCGTCCCCATTTACCAGGGAAGGAAGGGTCGAGTTTTGACGGTTCCATTGCTGCTTGCTTCCCGAGAGACGAGAGAGACAGAGCCCTTCCTTCCTTGGCTTGGCGTGGCCCAGTCGCTCACTGCCTCTCTACTAGTACTTACATGAATGCGCCCCCATCTCGACGACTTCATCTTTCTGATCTTCCCTCACACACCTCTTCGTTCGTCCTTGTTGTCGTCGCCGCTATCCTAGAGAATCGTCCTTTTATCGATACTCGTTCCGTTCTTTAACAACAACAACAACAATCGTTTATACTCTGATCCTAGTTTTATCTAGTATCCTGCTTTTCAGCACTCACTCACTCGCTTACCGCTCAACGCAAAACCGCCTTCTCCACCGTCATCGGTATACCCTGTTTGTGGCTTTCTTCCCTGTCTGCCAGATCGGACTCGTATAAGCCAACCAAGCTCAACTTCAACTTCGTTCGAATTTCAGCCTTTTTGCTCGTTTGACAAGATGCTTTTCCGAACCATCGCCTCTATCGCCTTCCTGGCTTGTGCCAGCAACGTTGCTGCCGAGCCCCAGCCTTACAAGCTGGTCAAGGCACCCGTTCAAGGCCTCAGCCTCTCTCGCCGTTCTACGCCCGGATACCAGCCTGATCAGTCTGTCTGCGGTGGTGGTGGTGACACTTGTGCTGAGGCTTGTGGTGCTGGTTACGAGTCTTGCCCTTCTGAGGATGACTCTACCCACTGCTTCAACCCTACAGTTAAGCAGTCTTGCTGCTTTGACGGCACTGGAAGTATGTATAGTTAATCTCATCCACATATGAGTTTTTGCATAGAGCAAACTGAATACTGACGATCTCTTTAGACTCTTGTGATGCAGGTTACTACTGTTCTCATGACACCAAGGCTCAGACCTGGTGCTGCCCTGAATCTATGGATCTTGCTCAGTGTGCCAAGGCGTATGGCGTTAAGGACGGCCTCAAGACCGAGAAGCTCATGACCTCCACCGCTGCTCCCACCGTTGCTTCTACTACTGCTGCTCCTACCACCACCTCTGCGCTCGAGACCACCTCGACAACCGTCTACATCACCAGCACCTCTCTTGCCAGCACCGAGCCTGCAACCACCACCAAGTCGGTTGTCGCTAAGACCACGACCAAGGCTGCTAAGACCACCATTGTCGCTCCTAGCTCTGGCTACAGCACGGCTTGGAGTGGTTCCAACAGCACCATCGCCACTGCCGCGCCTACTCAGCCATCTGAGTCTGCTCCTGGCTCTGCTGAGCCTTCCACCATTAGCAGTGGCGCTTCCCTCACTGGCGTGAGCGCCATGCTCCTCGCCGCTGCTGGCTTCTTCGCCCTTCTCTAAGTCAGAAACTTCCCCGTGGAAACACTCGTTTTCGCGAGATACCGCCTTAAATGACGCTCATGCGTCGTCGCGAATAATGACTCAATGATGAAGAAAGCAACGAAAGGCTTTATGCGTGGAACACGCCAAGTAAGAGGTGGATTGAAAACAAAACACGTGGTGCAATGTCGAGCTACATTATTCTTCTGATGAAATACCCCTTTTCGATATCCCCATTCTGTTTACGTCTTCAACTGGAGTTGATCGGCTTGGTGTTTTTGGTTGTTTAGGAAAAGAGCATGAGGAGGACGAGTTGAAACGAAATGAGAAACGCTCAGCGCTTGGAACATACATTCTTACGATCGGTACACGATTTCTCGTATACCTTATTACACCTAAAACTTATTTACTATTCGTCACGTTGCGAAAGCTTAGTCTCCGCCTCGTATACTTGACATTAATAATTGCCCTGGTAGACAATTTTACTCAACATTGCACACAATTCAAGCAAGATATTCTATAAAATGATGAGAAACAGTGATGTTTATTTACGACATCTGCTCGACAAAAGTGAGCCTTGGAGAACCGCAACAGTATAAACATTATACATCCAGTCTTGTAAAGAGTTGTGTCATGCGCCAATGAGCTTCAGCGAACTTGGCATATACTGGACTGTTGAATTGCTGTGCTGTGTAGGGGGGCTAGATATCTTATTGATGATCTGACATGGTTCAATAGAAGCTCATATCCATGCCCTATGTTGTATCGATCTATGTATATTATATCTGTAGATCTGTCTCCATAGATTATCAGTCAGATACTCCGATGCCTTCTGGAATGATCTTTCAGGCATAGGTCCAACGTCAAATTTGGACTACAGACAATGAAGATGTACATTGCGCTACAAAACCAAAGAGTGTCTGCTACACAACAAAGTCACGAATTTGGAGTATTACGTGATAATGCACCACCAAGTTTGGGAATCACCATCAGCTGTGATGTCACATGTGACCGGGAGCGAAATCCCATGACATATTGCCCACCAAGGAAAACATGACACAGAAGCTCATATGCCTGGTATGCTGTACGAGTAGTCTGCTGTGGAAGCCTGGACAGCATTAATGACGCAAAACGATAGGGTATGATTTCTCTCCGCAGCTAAATACGATGCGTGCTATAGGCAGCGCAAAAGGGAAACACAAAAGGGCTTCTCCCATCTGATTTCATTCCAACATGTATGATTTCATATGCGTTTGATTATTCCTGCTCTTGACTTGTTTCATCGTGGAGGCTTGTCTATTCGAAGTGGTGATTTGGACGCTTAGTTACCAACGGCCTCGGGAACCTTGTTGGCGTCGTAGCCGCATTTTTCCTTGAGCTGCTCAACCAGCTCAACGTACTTGGCCTGAGCGGCATCGGGGGTAAGCTGTTCTTCCTCAGCAGCCTTCTTCCAGGCGTTGTACTTGGCCTTGCCCTGAAAGCGGTGTTAGTTCGTCGCAGGCAAGAAAGATAGGCTTTAAAACTTGCCTTGAGGTCGAACATGCCGGGGGCGGTAGCAGCGGAGAAGTCCTCGCCGTTGGCGACCTTGTAGAGCCCTAAAAAGGTTAGCTGCGAAGCGGAAGACATGAATGAGGAGAGACTTTACCGTAGAGCCTGAGAAGGTCGTCGGTATTGGGCTTAGAGGTAAGCTTCTTTGAGTCCTCGACGGCCTTCTGGAAAGATTCAGACATGATGGGCAAAGAGATTGATTGGAGATGATCTAAAGAGAAGGAAAAGTACTGGGGGATTCAGGTTTGGAGAAGAAGGAGAAGAGAGAAGAGGTGTTGGGATGTTTGTTGAGGAACTTAACTTGGCTTCTCCCGTCGTGCGGGTTATAGCGGGGTCATGGGATTCGATGGAGGGGCTTAGGGGCCAAGTTGCGCTGAGCGACGTCGTGATCTGCCATTGGTTACTTTGGGGCACCTTCCCTAACTTCCTTAAGTGAGATGAGAAGGCGATCTGCCGAGGGAAGGAAGGAGCTGGGTGATTGCGACTGAATGATGAAGAGAGGCACGTGGGGAACAGGGGCTATAATTCTTGGAGATATATCACTTATTAAGGTATAACGAAAGAGTATAGACAATCCTTTGTTGATACTATATCAAAATCAGATGCAAAGCATGAGCACAGACAAGCTTCGACAGCTCTCCACTTCAGGTCTGGGACTGAACAAGAGCTCGGTATGAGCTAAACGGAGTAGAAAACCCATACAAATACATCAACTGAAGCCACGATAGCCTCAAATTAGACATTACAGTATCCGGCGAGCCTGAAACATAAACCGTTCCGGAACATCTTTTCGTTACACAGCCTTGAACTCGTCATGGACGAGCTTAGTATTGCTCCGAGACCATCGGGAGCGGAACAATCATGCTCGGCTTTAAACTTTCACAGCTCACATGTCTCTCCGACGTTATCTACACGTTACATGAGCAACTCAATTTTGATAAAGAGTGCCGCAAACCTTCAAGAGACATCAAACAAGCTCACTTTACATCAATTGATTAATCATGACAAAAACTGTCGTTGTATTAGGCGGTAGCCTAGGCGGTATGGCCGTTACCCATCAACTGCTCAAGTACACGCGGCCTCGTGAGCAAGATCTTAAAGTTATACTGGTCTCAAAGGTACTCACTCACTCAACAGGTTCTGATTCATTTACACTTTTAATACTGACAAACCTACAGAACAGCCACTTCTACTGGAACCTAGCTTCTGTTCGCGCCATCGTCCCTGGCGTTATAAATGATGATGAGATTTTTGCGCCTATCAAGCCAGGCCTAGATCAATATCCCGCCGGCAGCGTTGAGTTCATTGTCGGCACCGCTTCAGCCGTCGATCACACGGCCCGTACGGTAACAGTCGATACAGATGCTGGTGCTGACCAGAAGACCATACTTGAATATGATCATCTTGTCATTGCTACCGGCGCCGAAACTGTTGATCCTTCACTCCCTTGGAAAGCATCCAGCTCGCACGAGGAGCTCGTGGAGAGTCTTCACAGCACCGCTGAAAAGGTCGAAAAGGCTACACATGTTGTTGTCGCTGGTGCCGGAGCTACAGGCGTTGAACTCGCGGGCGAGATTCAATATGCTTATCCCTCGACTACCGTTATACTCATCTCAGCTGAGGACAAAGTTGTCGCTGGAGACCAAATTGCTGGTAGTGTTGAGTCTGAACTGAAGCGCCTTGGTGTTGAGATCCGTGCTGGTGTACGCTCCGAGGACTCGACGGAACTACCGGATGGCAAGACGTTGGTGAAGCTGTCCAATGGGGAGGAGCTCGTGACAGATTTGTTCCTCGCGACAATGGGATTGAAGCCAAATTCCGGGTTCCTGCCCAAGGAGTGGCTTACCAAGCAGGGCTATGTCGATGTGGATGATGAGATGCGTGTCAAGAATACAGAGGGCGTGTGGGCAGTTGGAGACGTCGTGTCCAAGCCTCGCGCCGCATTCTTGATCACTGAGGCTCAGGCCGCTGGCGTCTTCAAGAACATTGACCTCGTACTCAAAGGCAAGGAACCACAACCTGTGAGCGGTCCTCGAGTGGATGCTTTTCTCTGCGCAACAGGCCGAAGTCGCGGAGCTGGACGCTTAGGCAAAGTTCCGGTACCATCGCTTGCTGTATGGGCCGTTAAGGGTCGTACATTAGGTCTAGAACGTACCAAGAAGTACGTCAACGGAAGTATGTGGTGATGAGAATGCGTGTAGTGCAATGCCTGATATCCTATTCAAGAAAGCGCCATGATATTCCTACAAAGAAGAAGCAACATACCCATACCCATAATCTAATTAATTCGCCTATCCTCTCTTCTCGTCTTCAATCTCCCGCCTGATCTGTTCAAGAACTTGTTCTCGTGTTCTCAAGTGATTCTCTAGACCCTCGACCTGCTCTCGGACCGTCTGGAGATCTTCCTGTATACTCTTGAGACTTCCTCCAGCCGCGCTCTTACCAGTTCCCTCTTCCAACTCCCTGAGTTCTCGTCGCTTGTATTCGAGTAGTTGATCGAGTTCCTTCTTAACGAGTGCAGGCTTGGAATCGCGTTTGCCGCCTTTCCGGCGTTCCGCGATCTCTTCCACCTTCTTTATCTTATCCTCGAGGTCCTGGAGCTTGCGCTTCAGTCGAACCTCTTCCCAGTCCTCCGTCTTCTCCGTCGAGAAATCTGTGCCCGAACTCTTGAAGCCGCTTCGGCCCAGGCGCGTTAGGTATTGATCGCCGAACTTAGCCTTGCGGCCGGTACTCGTGGTGTCGTCAGCCTTGGTGGCCCATCGCGAGTTAGCGCCTGTTCGCTGGTTGTCGACTTGATAATCAATCTGGTTGCGCTCGAAGCTCGATCGAAGGGATGCGGGAACGGTGCGGGGGATTCGGAAGCCCTCATGTCGGTAGTTAAGGATATGTAGGAATGCGAGACAGGCATCCTTATTGATAGTCGATTGCGCCGAGGGGTTGATCAGATTCCAGGCGGATCGAACATCGGTATCGGGAACGTCAAGGGACTCGTAAAGATCGCTAAGCGCATGGACTGTTCTCGTCAGCATTGTTTCCAGGTGTTCGGGTTACCGTAGACATACAATCCACCTCGCCGCGCATATCTCGGTTCTCCTGGTAGATCTGCTCGTATTTGGCCTTGTCCGCAGGCTTTATGTACCACTCGAATCCGTCTTTAAGCCCCAGGTCTTCCGAGTCGTCCTCGACCTGCTCGAATTGTACTGACTTTCCGGTGATAGCCTGGCCGGCCTGCACGAGATGAGCCTTGGACTCAGGGACAAGCCAGTCGGGCAGTGTTGTCGGCACATCCGCGTATTCCTAGAATTCGTAAGTTACAAAGCCAAAGAACCACTCAGCGATCGTGCCATACTCCGTTGAGAATATCAAAGATAATGCGCATGGCAACGCAAAACTCCTCGAAGTCGAGGTTTCCATCGTTATCCACATCCGCGAGATCCCATACTCGCTCTAGCTGATCATCTCGGAGGCCACTGTTCTTGAGAACAGGAGCAGCTTGTTCGCCTGTAAGAAACTTGCCGCCTCCTGTTCGCGCAGAGAAGATATTCCAGTAAGTCTCGATTTCCTGCGCCTCAATCTTGGGAGCCATGATTACGGCTGGGGGCTATGGACAGCCGTGTGGAGTTATTGTTCGAAGTCGAGTACAAGAAGGCGCCCTAATTAAGCCGGATTAAAAAGAGATAGAGGTAATCGTTCTGGCGGCGACCGCAGAGGATGTTGAATTAGCGGAAAGGCAATGATGCAGGTTCTATGGTCAAGGTAGAGTGAGCTGGAGGTTGAATGACGAAGCAGGCTCTCCAGCCACGCTTGGATAGGCCTGCATTTCCCCTGATGCATCTGCGGCCCCCGCTTAGCCAATATCCAAATTAGCGCATAATCTTACTGGTAAGAAGATTTGTTGATCAGTAAGAGAATAGGGCATGTAAGTCATTGGTATAGCTCATTCAGTTGAGTCTTATTCTAACAAGAGTTAAAAATATTTCAGTCTAACAGCACGATTGCAATATGCACCTAAGTCGTTTGTGAGTATAGACAGCATCACTGTCACCAATCTCCAAGCCAGCCTATCATAGCAAGGCTATAGTTCGCTAAAAGTATGTGTCCAAGTTGCCGTTGATCGTCACTATGTCATTTTATCATGAGCTTAAAATCTTTGAGTAAGAGGAGGACAATTTGCATGTTAATAGTTGAGTCCTTGAAATCTATCATCTGATACGCATACGCTAAAACAAGAGGAGGTTCACCGAGAGTGACTGGCCAACAGCCACAGTCCAGGCTTTGAGTGGTTGAGCCCCACTGCCAAATAAGGAAGGGACCTGGAGAGAATCCCCATGGACTCAGCTCTCAGTGGCTGATTCACAAGGTTGTGGGCCTGCAGTAGCGGGTAGAGGGGTACGGCTGCCACACCCGATAACTTTTTGGAGGGGCAAAGAAGGCGCGAAACAAATGACCCTTTAAATTAATCCTTCAGACCGCTCGACTTTGTTCCTTATATATATATTCGCTGTCTCTCTGTCTTTGGCACATCCTGAACTTAAAAGCATCGCGAACTGTTTCTTCTCCATAACTCCGGCTCTTCTTCTGTCTAAATCACCATGTCGACAACAACTACCACTACAACCCAGCCTATCACGGCCGAATCTATGCTCCGTCTCTTCCCGGACATCGATACCAGCTCAGAGCCTCTCTCCGGCCATGATGAGGAGCAAATCCGTCTTATGGATGAGGTCTGCATCGTCCTCGACGAGAATGACAAGCCAATCGGTACCGCCAGCAAAAAGATTTGTAAGTGAAACTGCACCACCATCAAGTATCCCCTACTAACTTAGACTACTAGGCCATCTCATGACCAACATCGATAAGGGTCTCCTTCACCGCGCCTTTTCCGTCTTCCTCTTCAACGACAAGAACGAGCTCCTCCTCCAGCAGCGCGCATCCGAAAAGATCACCTTCCCCGACATGTGGACCAACACTTGCTGCTCCCACCCTCTCCACATCCCTACCGAGACTGGCGCTACTCTTGAAGACTCTATCTCCGGTGTCAAGCGAGCTGCTCAGCGCAAGCTTGAGCACGAGCTGGGTATCAAGAAGGAGCAGGTTCCCTTCGAGGATTTCCATTTCCTCACCCGAATTCACTACAAGGCCCCCAGCGACGGCAAGTGGGGTGAGCATGAGAGTATGTAAAATCCAATATTGAATGTTACAGTATCTAATAGTCGGCGCAGTTGACTACATCCTCTTCATCAAGGCCAACGTCGATCTCGACATCAACAGGAACGAGGTCAGAGATACACAATACGTCACTCCCGAGAAGCTCAAGCAACAATTCGACGACCCTAGCCTGGTTTTCACACCTTGGTTCAAGCTCATTTGCAACTCTATGCTCTTCGAGTGGTGGCAAAACCTCGACTCCGGCTTGAATAAGTACATGAACGAGCAGGATATTCGACGGATGTAACGATATATGGATAACGAGTCAAGAGAGAAAGCACCCAAAACGACAGGAGAAGCAGTATAAGTGCCAGATCCAGACTTGGCATACGGTGCATTGGGTTTTTGCAGTCAATCAGCATAGATATCCGCGCTTAAATCTTGCTGCGTTAATGTTTACGAGCAACTGAGCCACATTCAATTTGATACTATTTCACTACCCAACTCACTTAGCCTCACCTATCAAGATGGAGGATACCATGACCAACACCGCCAATCAGAGTCTCAAACTTATTCAGCACGGCCGGGCCGTTAGACATGGTTATCTTGAACTGAGCTTCCATGTACGAGCCAATGACTCAGGATCATGATGTCTTGGTTCTCTGCACCATCCGGCATGACATAGTGAGTCTTATCAAGTGACACAGTACTGATAAAAAGATTAGTGAGTCCTGGCGCCGTCGCAAGCCGTTGCCATCCACCAACAAACAACATGCATGATGCTCTTTGACAACACCTAGTACGACCCTTTCAGTTTGGGCTCCTGCGACTGCCATCCAACTGGAATATCGGGGCCAATGACGGTTTTCCTTGGCTTCTCAAATCAAGGGTTTTCGATCTCCTCCACACTCAGCTGCCGGTGGCTTGAGCCTTGACTTGGCTACATCACTGCACCTGACATTGAATCCTGCATGGAACCCCGCGACTTCTGTGCTTCCGTGTATTCTTCTGCATTCATTGGATTGAGTCCAATCTTTCTTGTCTCTAACTGCACGATTGATTGGAGCATCTCGGGACTCGGACTTCACAATCTGCTTTGCCCATGTAACGACAGCATCACCCCCACGGTGTCGCAGCTGATCATGTGGTCTATGATCGTCCTGTCAGCAAACACTGTGTTATCCTATCTCGCCTTGATTCCAGACTTGCTATTCACTGTCTCAGAATGGACCCGGAAGCTAGCCAATACCCCACGATAATAGCTGTGATGCATCATCTAGCCAATGGTATCTTGGTTTTCCGCGTAGAGGCGCTCCGTATCTATTTTGCCCATCTTGAGGCCCACACGGCCTCTAACCAAGACTCGCCCTACTTAATCCCCCGACCATTTCCTATCTCTCAGCCCGTCTTTGTTCCTCACCCATGTACTCAGTCACTCACCTTTCTTCCACAAACACTTACTTTGCTCAAGCCTTCAATCTTGACCAGACAACAGCCGCTGGCCACTAACAGGACCCTCAGTCAGGATATCTTGCTAAGCCCTCTCTTAGAGGAGGCTGCTTTGAAGAATAGCCAACTTGGCGTCTTGCTATTACTGTTACCACGTGCTGCTTGTGCACTCAATTTCTTTGCGTTGTTGACGGTCGTTGACTACTGTCTTGAAACCTCTGAACACTCCCACTTGACAAAACTTTTATCCATTCTCGTGAAATCTCGAAACGCTTGGACGCTTCGTCGACGAACGTCGCTCGATACAACTCCCTTCTACTAAGCCGTGATCGCGAGCCTGGCCCGCTCAAGTACCACCTTGATGTCGGTTGAAGTTCGCACCAGCCTTAATTGTCTCCGTCATCCCTCGAGGTTCACGTCCGTTTCCAGAACTCAACTATCACGAGTTCATACGGGCGATAATTGTCAAGACATACAATGTGAGTTTAGATGCTTCGGCCACGAACTTATCATGCTTAATACGCAATGGCGCCCCTTTCATTACCAGGAAGGGGCCCTTAGGTACAGCGAATACATCCAGTACCGGTTAAACTGCCATCATGGAGATCAGCAAGAATAGTAAAAGTGGTATCCATGGCCCTGGGACATTGGCCAAGTGGCGGCGACGCTCCCTTATACCATCTACCTGGGAAACCTCTGTTCGTTTCGTTGATGTGAACGAGTCTGCGGCAGCTGGTAGTGCGCTGGCCCAGGCCTTTGCAACTGATGCCATGAGTCAGTATGTGCTCGACGGTGACGACATGGCGGATTATTCGGATGAACAGAAGTGGAAGCTTCATGTTGATTATATGACTTATATGGTTGCAGCGCACTGCTACAAAGGAATGGTGACAACCATTGGGTCGGACTACGATGCTGTAGCTCTTTGGTACGTGAACCAACGACTATACCCGCAATTTGAGCTAATAATCTTTCAGGCTTGCTCCTGGTCAGCAGACGGATGACTGGTGGACTAGTCTTCGCAGTGGTATGTGGAAGCTATACTATCAGCTGTCAGCTGAAGGACGGAGACGATACTACGATGAGATGCTACCTGTTCTGGACCAGACCAAGGAAGAAGTCATGGGCGAAAGGAACCAGGACTGTTATTATCTTGTCTACATCGGTACCAAGCCTAATGCCCAAGGCAGAGGTTATGCCGGAAAACTGATCCGCGATATGGTCGCCAAGGTACAATAGTTCCATCTTTCAACGTTAGAGAAAACTAACAACAGCCAGGCCGATGCTGAACAGCGTCCCATGTATCTCGAGTCCAGCACCGAACATAACAATGGCTACTACGCCAAGTTCGGTTTCGAGGTCAAACGTGACGTCGTCTTTGAGGGAGGCCCCGAGCCCATCACAATGTGGATCATGGTTCGCGAGCCTCAGAAGACTCGCCATGCTTGCAGCTCTGTTATCGTTTCTGCCGTCAGCAGCGCAGTCAAGTTCTAGGGAGACGAGCCTCTGGTCCCTCCAAATGTCGACACGGGGTCAGAGGCTGAAGTCGAAGAAGTTGAGGATATCGAGGATATCGAGGATGTCACCCACGAGCAACAAGATTGGAAGAAATGCGTTGTGATGTGAGTTTTGATTGCGTGAGAATTTGCTTTAGTTTACACTGAGTTTGTTGACTCTTGTCATTCTTTTGGACATTGGTGTTTTTGATGATATGAAGCAGTATGGTTCTGGCCTTGTTGTAATGCCAACATATGTGGGCAGTCTCTACCGTAATAGCTGTCTATTTCTTCTGCTTTTGCAGTATGCCGACTAGCTCGAGTCATTCATTAGAGAAATAACATATATAATATTGTCATTCCTTCATAAGCTAGTCCCTCCTGTAACCGTGAACACCATGCACCTAGCTTTTGTAGTTTGTATTCCGTATACATTGTCATTCTCGGAGCCCATCCCTCATAAACTCAAATCTCATATTAGTATTCGAGGATTGCCCATGTCTCGTCATCAACTGTGGTGTAGATAAGACCCTGGCCAAGCAGTTCGTCAGCAGCAGTGAGAGCATCCCGCACTGACATGCCAGTAGAATTAGTGATGACGTTGAGATGGACACCCTCATTGCCACCAGGTGTGTCGTTCATAAAGTTGAACATCTTCTTGGCAAGCCCACTGCAGCCAGCGAGCTTAGTAGGCGCCTGGCCAGCGTTGCCGCCTCCATTGTCATTATAGCCACCACCGTCCACGAACATGCTGTCCCCGTCTCCGTTGGCGCCGCCTTGACCACCGAGAGGGCCCTTGGTGAAGTAGAGATGGACATATGTAGCCTCGAGCATGTGGTAGTTGACCTCGTTGAAATCCGCTACAGGTCTGATAACATGAGCTCCGACGTGTCGCTTGTTGTTGAAGGACTTGAGACGACCCCAAATACGAACGTGAGACTCCAGCTCGAAACCAGGATCAGCATCGTCCTGCTTGTCGACGTCGATCCACTTCTTGACCTCAATCATGCCGGTGCCGTCGTCTATGTTAAGGGTGATATTTGTAGGTTGAGGCTGGATCTTGCGAATCTGTCCGACGAATGTGATCTGTGTCACGGGGGAACCGTCGATTTTGAAGTCGGCGCCAGCGTAAGCCTCTTCGGCGTCGAGGATCTGCTTGATTGTGACAGGGCGCAAGGATTCATCTTGGTATGACTAGTAGATATGAGAAAGAGTGGTAATGGTCAGTTGTAGAGAGTGTGATGTACCTTGCCGCCGGCGCCGCCTTGACTGCCCTGCTGTGAACCGCCAGCGAAGAAGCCGCCAGAATCGTCACCCCCTTGGGCGCCATAGCTTGTTTTTGTGAATCCAGAGTAAGCAGCTTTAGAGAAGAGTCAGAAATGCAATTTTGGACAGATAGTGGGCGTGTTATGGTGTACTTACACATGATTGTGGTTGTGTGATGTTGAGTTGGACTAGGCAGAGCCCACGGTATGGACGTGAAGATTAAGAGACGCGTTAAAACGCGCCTGAGTTTAATGGATTCCATGAAGCCCCGCCTTCACGGTGTGGGGCATCAGTTAGTTGCCTTAGTCATCGATATGATAATGGCGTTGATAGAAGGCACGTGCTTGGGTGCTATGATATCCAAACAACTCAATGGAGGAAGCATGTGCTTTGTTTCCCTAATAGTATAAAGAAGAAGTTGGTACTCATTTGTTGATTTGATTGCTATTTCTGTCAGTCCGAGACATCCTTGGACCTCTCCCAATACGGTTGGCGATCATGCATCTGCCGACATCCTATCAAGAACCATGTTCCATCGCTAGCGAGTCCAAACACAAGATAATGACTTGAATGGAAAACTATGGCACCGCTTGGAATATGCTACAGCTTTCCGAAACTTCTCCGCAGGTTTTTCCTGTGTTGGCATCACATCATTTGATATATAAAAATGATCACCACGACTAGCAACGGGTAGCTTGAACCTCGGCTGGAAAAGTGGAACTACCGCCAATGGATCCAGGCTTCGGCGTTCGCCCCGTGTTTCTCCAGGTTTCCTTCCTTCTAAGGTACTTGCCGCAATCACACCCTACCTTGCACCTACCTTAACCTACGTCGTTCGGCCATCGGCCATTGTATCCGTAGTTGCTTCTGACATCAACAACTTTCTCCTCTTATTGCTTCATCACGAAAGTAACCCATCCTTTTTTTTTTTCCTTCTCTGGTTCATCGCTTTTTGCATAGCGTTTGGTTCATCTCGTTCTTGACTTGTATAATCTCCATTGGCATCATGGCAAAGCCACAGACCGCGAATTTGCCCCTGATACCACTCGCACGAGGCACCATCCTTCTCCCTGGCCTCGTCCAGCGAATCCCAGTATCTTCTAACCGTCCCGATATTCCTGCTCTGCTCGCCCACGTTTACGAGCAAGCCGCTACAAAGGGCCCTGATACACGTATCGACAGTATTCCTATCGCCTGCGTTCCCATTTCATCTCCTCTTATCAGTGGCAATGGCCAACGACTTATTGGCGATGCTGAAGAGATAGACCCTACTGAGATCGAGAACGTCCTT